AAAAAAACAAGTTTTTATTAATAGTATTTGTCGAACTATAAAAGTATTTATTTATTTATATAATATTGATTATAATGAATTTTTAAAAATATAGACCAAAAAGAAAATCAGTATAAATCAGATAAAAATATTGAAACGGTTAACAACTAAAGAGCCTTTAGCTTGTTCGTTTATAATGAAAATTTTAAAATAGCTCAGCTTGTCTAAAGTAACTACTATACTGTTAAATTTGAAATATTCAACTTTTTCTGAAGTAATAACAACTGAACTATCTGAAGTGCAAAAATAAATAGTGATATCGATATACATTATCTCTGTTATGAGCAAGATATGCGTAATCGCTTATTACCGAAACAAAAACTTATCAAATTAGCCAAACAATCATTTGGTCAATTTTTTACTAGATGTCCCAAAATTTATGAGAATAGCTATAATTAGCAGAAAGTATTTTTAAGCGAGCAATCGAGTTTGTCATTAAGATAAATAAGGCAATTTATTATGTGAAGGGAAAAATTTTAAATAGTAAAAAATGAACAGTGAGTTTACCATTTCAGTAAAAAACTTTTTGTCCCAAACCACCTTTTTTCTTGTGCTGGCTTATCAAAACTTTATAGCTATTATAGTTATTTTCATAATTCCTAGGAAACCTGATAAAAATTGGCTGAATAATCTTTTAGCCGATTCGATTAAGTTTGTGATTTTGGCATAATAGATTCAATAAAATTGATACTTTCAAAGCATCTTCTCTGGAAAATAATTAAAAAAAATTTAGAAGGTATATCATTTCGAGTTTTCAAGTACTCTCAAAAATATGGATATATTAAAAAGCTTCCGTTACTTTTAGAACAATCCGAGGTGGAATGTAAAATGTTAATGGCAATTTGAAGGGCTACAAACCAACTTGTATATAGAGATTAAGTCAGGTCATGGTCATGCTAACTGGGTAACCCGAATAAAAAAAAATAGAGCATTTATAATATGAATGTCTTCCTATTTTTTTTTTTTTTATATAAAACAAATTTGGTTTACTCTAGGCTTAGTAAAATTTAATTCAGTTTATGCTAAGTTTAGCAGAAAATGAATTTGGTTTATGCTAAGCTCAGCAGAAAATGAATTCAGATTATGCTAAGCTTAGTATAAAACGAATTCATTTTATGCTAAGTATAGCATAAACCGAATTCATTTTTTGCTAAGCTTAGCAGAAACCGAATTCGGTTTCTGCTAAGTTTAGAATAACCCAAATTCATTTTATGCTAAGCTTAGCATAAAATAACTTTTGGTTAAAAGCTAAAATCCTAATGCTTATTCCCAAGTATAGTGATAGAAATCTTGAAATTTGGTTAATTTTATATAATTGTAACTAGGTCAACCAGATTACTCGGATTATTTGAGGTAACCAGGTTGTTACCTGGGTTGTAGTTTTATAAACGGGTAAGTAACCCAGAGCTAAAATTTAGACTGGGCCTAATCTCTACTTGTATATACAAACAAAAATAATATTATATAGGAACTTCTTTTAATATATACTCCAATTCGTACAATATGTTTATTATAAAAGTTTATGTAATTAATATATAATGCCTTTTTTATATTTCTTATTACTGTATTAAGACTTATTGACACACTAAACATGTTGAATAAACCTTTGAACGAAAATTTAATAATGTTGACATTATAGTTACAAATGATCTGTAAAACAGTCATTATAATACAAAAGCAGTTTTTATTATATTAATCATACCGAAATTACAAACTTAATCAAATCAGCAGAAAAATCATTCAGCCAATTTTTATCAGGTGTTCCAGGAATTATGAAATAGCTGTAAAGTGAATAGGTGTAGCTTATTATGGTTTTTCATTGTAAAATTTTTGATAAACTATTTAGAATTCTCTAAAGCAGTGATTGAGCCTTTTATTTTGATCTATCATTGCAATTGAGCATCACTACAATATTAAAAAATTTAAAATACCTATCTTTTTTAGATGACTGAACATTGCTTATTTTCATGTTTGGACATTATAGTTTTCAACTTGTAATTCATAATGACAAAAGTATTTAGCAAAGTAGCATAGACAGACTTGATATATATGATAGTTTATCTAAATTCTAATTTGATGATTTCTTCTTGTAATTAATATAATAACTGGTACGTTCTATCTGAGGTGACTAAAATAAAAAAAATAAATAAATAAATAAAAAATAAATAAAAAAAAAAAAAAAAGATGCTGGTGAAGTAAAATAAGAGTGGCATAAAAATTTTACCACTTTGGTACGTTTGGTGCCGAATTGGTAAAATTGATGAAATTAATCATGATGAAACATAGAATATATTAGTTTAGTAATATTATACTTTACTAGTTCGAACTAATATATTCTCTAAAAATTATGATTTTATAAATTTATAATCATACTTCTTTTGCTTTATATCTCTTTCGTATCATTTCATTATTTATGCATTTAATGTCCCGACGCTTGAACAACAATGTCATATATTGACTCATTAATAAAGAATAATTTATTAAACTTAAAATTTGATTAAAACAATCGATATATTTTTTTCTTTGATATAAATACCTTTTTTTTTCTTTTTGAATACAATTTCAATTTGCTATTGTGAAAATTTTCTCTTAATCACAAAATCTTGATCACGAAAGCTCTTTTTTTCCTTATTAACTTTTTTTTTTGCCTGTTGTAAAATGAATGAAATATGTGAAACAGTACCATCACAAAAAGGTGGCATTAAAATTAAAGTTGATAGGTATCTTATGACAAAAGAGAAGAGTTGTAAAGATATCTACTATTGGTGTTGCGACCAAAAAAAAATCAACAGGTGTACAGGTCGAGCCGTAACACAATTATGGGATGATAAACATTATCTTAAAAGTTTCTCCAAACACAAGCAGCATGCTCCACAAGCGCATAAGCCTGAAGTTGCCAAAGTTGTACCTCAAATTAAACAACAAGCTAAAGTATCAAGAGATAAACCTATCAAGAT